TCAAAACAATGTTTCGTGGCTCCGTGCGGAGCAACACCGGCGGCCTCAGTGGCGGTGTTCGCATACCTTTTACCCCCTCAGTGCAGCGCTTCGTGGCCCCATAGGGACCTCCACCGAAGGCCTCAGTGGCGGTGTTCGCATGCGCCTCCTCCCTCCTCAAAACAATGTTTCGTGGCTCCGTGCGGAGCACCACCGGCGGCCTCAGTGGCGGTGTTCGCATACCTTTTACCCCCTCAGTGCAGCGCTTCGTGGCCCCATAGGGAGCTCCACCGACTGCCCCAGTGTCGGTGTTCGCATGCGTGTCCCCCGCCCAGTACAGCGCTTCGTGGCCACATGGCGGGCTCCACCAGATGCCCCAGCTACGGTTTTCGCACGCGTCCCCCCACCCAAAACAGCGCTGTGTGGCCGCATAGGGGGCTCCACCGATGGCCCCAGTGGCGGTGTTCGCATGCGTCTCCCACGCTCAGTACAGCGTTTCGTGGCCCGTTTGGGAGCTCCACCGAAGGCCCCAGTGGCAGTGTTCGCACGCGTCTCTCATACCCAGTGCAGCGTTTCTTGGCCCAACAGGAAGCTCCTCCGAGGATCCCAGTGGCGGTGTTCGCATGCGTCCCCCTCGCCCAGTACAGCGCATCGTGGCCCCTATAGGGAGCTCCACCGAAGGCCCCAGCGGCGGTGTTCGCGTGCGTCTTTCCCACCCAGTACAGCGCGTCGTGGCCCCGTAAGGAGTTCCACAAACAGCCGCAGTGGCGGTGTTCGCATGCGTCTCCCCCTGTCAGTACAGCGCTTCGTTGCTCCTATAAGGGGCTCCACCGAAGGCCCCAGCGGCGGTGTTCGCGTGCGTCTTTCCCACCCAGTACAGCGCTACGTCGCCCCATAGGGAGCTCCACCGAAGGCCCAGCGCCTTGTTCTTCCTGCGGCGCGCTGCCTATGAAAGCAGAGTCTACACCGCGTGTGTTATTTGGAGTTGGCGTGCCCCCCCTCTTCGTCTCATCTCCCCCGCGGTATTCGCAGCTGCACATGGTTGGATCGTTCGCCAGGCTTATTAAAACAAAGGTGCGGCGCTAATGCGAGAACCACATTTTGAAAACGGCCCGCCCTGGGTCTGAACGGTGTTGGCTTCGGCGGCCGCTAGCCGGAGCAACGCCGACGGCGGCCGCGAGGCCGAGGGGCCCGAGCAGGAGCAGGGGCAAGTTCCAGTGATGCACCCTGCATGGGACGACACGGCCCTCCCTGATCGGGCTTGGTGGCAGCGCCTGGACTGGCGGTCTGCCTTACGCTCCGGGGCCCCTACGTTCGTGCAAGTGCCAGACAGGTTTCGCGGGGCAGTGACGCATGCGAGACGCAAGGCGCTGGAAGTCTTTGGAAGAGTCGAGCCGGCACGGAGAGGCCGCAGCAGAGTGGAAAATGCTGTTGTTGTTCGACTTGGTGTTATTTGCTCGGCCCCGGGGAGCGGGCCCCACGTGCGCGGAGCTGCTGGAGGAACGGTTGGTTATGTGGTGGGGCGGGCAGTGGGCTCCGCTGTGGGCGTCGGCCACGAGCGGCCCACCCCCGCGAGCGCCGGCGCGGCAGACGACCTACAAGCAGAGAGCGCACCGGGTGCACACTCTAGCTGCGGCTGGGGAGGAAGCCCGCGCGCTGGCAGCAGCAGTGCAGGCCGAGCTGGCGCCGCGCACCGCCGCCGAGACGCTGCGGAAACTGCGGGCGAGATTCCCGGAGGAGCCACTCGGCGGCGCCAGCGGGGTGCCACAGCCAGTTGTGCCCCACGCGCCGCCCCGCGCCGAGCTCAGGGAGGAGGCGGAGGAGGAGGTGCGCAAGCTACTGCGGCGCCCTCCCCGCCTGGCGGCGCCGGGCCTGCAGGGGACGCGGCTCGAGCACCTGGGGGCGAGCGCCGCCGACGGCGAGACTTCGCGCCTGCTCGCCCGGGCTGCCACGAGGGTCGCCTTCGGGGAGCTGCCGCGGGAGGCGCTCGAGGCCCTGCGCGCGGGGGAGCTCGTGGCGCTCGCGAAGGGCGCCGGGGACGTGAGGCCTCTGCTGGTGGGCGCCGCTCTCCGCCGCTTGGGGCTGCGCGCGCTGGCGAGAGCACGGAAGACTCAGCTGGCTGATGCAGCCGGGAAACACCAGTACGGCGTGGGGCGCAAAGGCGACTCCAACGCATCGGTAAAGAGCCTGCAGGCCCTGGCGGAAGCCAGGCCGGACGCTACATTCATCAAGGTGGATGTAAAGGCCGCTTTCCAACGGATGCGGCGAGGGCCGGCTCTCGAGGCCATGGACGAAGCTGTCCCTGAGGTGGCGGCGGCCTTGAGGGTTTGGTACTCGGGCCCGGCGGAGCACTACTGGCGCACGGCCGACAGGCGCTTCGAAACGGTCCAGAGCCAGCGCGGGTTCGACCAGGGTGACCCCCTGCCCAGGGCCCTGCGGGCTTCGCTGTTGGGCAGCGGCGCGCTCTGGAGCACCTTCTCCACCGGCTGCAGCAACTGGACCCGGGCGCCCGCCTGTATTCCTACCTGGGCGACAGCTAGCAGCTACTTGGCGGTGCGGGCGGACCTCGGAGTCCTGGCGCTGGCGGGCCTGCGCGAGCTGCTCGCGCCCTTGGGGCTGGAGCTGAACGACGACAAGACGCTGGTCTGGTCTCCCGCGGGGATCCAGGCTGTCCAAGCCGAGTTCGCCCCCAAGTATGTGGCTGTGCTCCCAGTCCTCGGCGCGCAGCTCAGGGCGCCCGGAGACGCCGGCGGCGCGGCGCTCCCGCTCGGCGGACAGGGCTGCGGGCTGGACGGGGCCACGGAACGACTCGGGAAGCTCTGGGCCGGCCTCGAGCGACTGCTGAAAGGAAGGCTCAAGAAGCAGGCCGCGGGCGCGCTGCTCAACACCTACGCCGGCAACGCCAGCCAGCACCACCTGCAACTGGCCCTGGCCTCGGCGGAGGAGACCTTCCGCTACGACACCGCGCTCAGAGGCTGCTGGGAGAGCCTGCTGCGACGGCCGCTGGGCCCGGAGGCGAGCGAGCTGCTGGGGCTGCCGGCTAAGCTGGGCGGGGCCGGCGCGCAGTGGGCTGCCACGAGACGCGCGGCGGTGTGCTGGGCGGCCTGGACGCAGGCGGCCGCGGAGGTCCAGCACGACCTGGGCATCTCTGGCGTTTCCACCCTCGGAGACATGCTGGCGGCCCTGCCACAGGCCGCGGCCGCGCTGGAGGCGACGCGGGCTGAGCTGGCGCGCCAGGGCGCTGACCCTGAGCCCGCGGCGCCCCTGGAGGCCCTGCTGGGCCACCCGACCAAGCAGAAGACCTTGGTTGCTATGGTGCATAAGAGAACCTACGCTGTTGCAAAGCAGCGAATGCACCACTGCAGCCAGGCGGCGCTGCTCTCTGCCGGGGGGCCAGGCGCCGGGGCTTACTTGAAGTGCCCCGCGGAGCTGGCCTGCGCGCTGGGGGGCCCTCGCTGGGAGACCGCGACCCGGCGCCAGGTCCAGCTGCCGCGGCCCGAGTGCGCCGCCGACGAGCTCGCGCGAGCTGCGGCGACTTGCCAGAACCAGACAGCCGGGGGAGCCCCATGCCAGGCGCCGCTGGACGAGGCTGGCTTCCACGCCGCGATCTGCCAGCCCGGCGGCGGAGTTGTTAAGCGGCACCGGGGAGTTGCGCGCGCCGTGGGCAGCCCGGAGTCTATAGGCCCCGGCCGGCGCGCCCTTTCCTCTTCGGGGGCGGCTCGCCGCCGAGCGGCGGGTCGCACCTGGGGGGGGGGGGGGGGGGTGCGCCGGCTCCCGATCACAGTGCTCTCGGCGCGCGGCAGACGCGCGGCCGCCCGGAGGAGGAGTAGGAGGAGGAGGAGGAGGAGGAGGAGGAGGAGGAGGAGGAGGAGGAGGAGGAGGAGGAGGAGGAGGGAGGAAAAGGAGGAGAGATCAGGAGAAGGAGGAGGAGGAGACCAGGAGGAGGAGGAAGTGCATCATGTGCGTGCCCGCTCGAGGAAAGTGCGCCCCGGCGGGCGTCGTATCTGCCCCGGCCCCCCCCCCCCCCCCCCCCCTGCGGGGAAGGGATCAAAGGGAAGGGGCTTCCCTTCGACTCCACTACGACGTCGTTTAATTTCGCTTTGGATAGCGCGCTTGAGGAGGAGAGCCCTGGGAGGGGGAGAACGGAGACGACGGAGACGACGAGTCGAACGGAGAAGCCCCTCACACACGCCGACAGGGTCGGCGGATTTTTGTTGCACATGTTTAAACGAATGTTCGCGGCGGCGAAGCGAGAGCCAAAGTTTGAAAATGACCCACCCTCAATCCGTGAAGCTCTTGCATCATGTTACAACCAACATGCACTGTGCTATGGCAAGGGCCACATGTTGGAAACGACCCGCACTCCATCGGTGAAGCTGTTGCCCATTTTTGGGGCTTAAAGCTCACGAGTGGTGTAAGGAAGTCTCAGGCGAAACGCCCAGCCTACCCTTCAGGGCCTCGGGGCGCGACAGGGAGGAGGGGGAGTTATTCAGAAAGAAAAGAAAAGAAAAGGAGGAGGATGAGGAGGAGGAGCTCGGGAGGAGGAGGAAGGAGGAGGAGGAGGAGGAACTCCGGAGGAGGAGGAGGATGAGGAGGAGGAGGAGGAGGAATCCAACCGCCTACGGCCAAGGTCCGTGGATGGGCGCTGGCTCCAGTGGGTTTTCAGGGGACTTCGGAAGCACCTACCTCCTTTGTCCCTCTGTTCCTCCCTCCTCTCGGCCTTCCTTCTTCTCCTATGTGCTTCCTTAGTTTTCCCTCTCCATATTTTTGTCTGTCGCCGAGCCCTGTTTGGTCTTCAGACAACCGCCGTGAAACGTGAAACGAGGAGGAGGAAGAGGAAAAGGAGGAGGAGGAGGAGAAGAGGGGGAGGAGGACGAGGAGGAGGAGGAGGAGAAAGAGGAGGAGGAGGAGACGGAGGACGAGGAAGAGGAGCAGGAGGCGTGGAGGGGGAGTAAGGATGGGGAGGAGGCAGAGGGGAAGGCATGTGAAGGATGGGCTCGATGAGTTTGCCCCGTGGAGAGGTGCCCCGGCAGGGGCGGCAAGGAGCTGCAGGGCGTACGCGAGGAGCGCGCGCGCCCGCGCCGCTGGTGGGCTCTGCAGGCCACGAGCCCAGTGCCGTCTCGCCCCGGGTTGGCGGGCACGCCGCCCTCGCAGGGAGAGCACTCTCGCGGGGCACTCCCTCGCACGCCCTCCCACTGAGGGCACTCTGCGGGCACGCCCCCGCACGGAGGGCACTCCTCGGGCACGCCCTCCCACTGATGGCACGCCTTCGCACGGAGGGCACGCTCGGAGGTGTCCAAGTGTGTGCTAGCCAGATGTGTGCTAGTCCCACCGATGGCACGCAGCAGGTGCTTCGGTGGACAAGGACACGTTGACACTCACACGCGTTCTGAGCATCATCGACAAGAGCGGGGGTGAGGCCTAGTGCAGTCGCCCCTGGTTAGCGGTCACGCCCTCGCACGGGAGGCGCTCTTTGGGGCATCCAAGATCGCTGATTCTGAGGACGTGTGCTTCGTCGATGAAGGGAAAGCGGCATAACCATACACTTTTGGAGCTCCGCGCGGATTTCTTGGATCGGCGCTGGACCCGCCTCCCTGGCGCGCGGAACGCGCCAAGGGCGGCGCTCCGAACGATCCCCAGCTCCAGGGGGGGCCGAGCGCCGATCCGATAAATCCGCGCGGAGCGCCGACAGTTTATGCTCATGCTGTTCGATGGTCATCTAGTTTCGACGAGGGCATCGGATGATGAACCACTGGATGGGGAGTCCAGGAGCCAAGACGCCAGCGGAACACCCACTGAGGCCTGGCCATCCATATCACCGCCGCCCTCTTCAGACAAGGAATCCACCAGGGTCTGAAGCCCCCGCACACATTCCTTAACTCAGAGCGTGAACTACCTACCCCGCTTTCGCTTCCAGGAAAACCAAGTCATACCACGCGCCTCCTCGTCAAGCGACCTGACCAGTACAGGCCGTAGTTTGGCATCGCTTGGTATCTCTTGGAAGCGAGGGTGGTCAAAAGCGAGGTAGGTTTTTTCCCCCTTATTAACGCACGTCCCCACGTAGCCAAATGTGTGCTTGCCCCCTTCAGCTCCACCGATCGCGCGCAGCATGTGTCGGCCCTCGTTGCACCGCCTGCGTCGTGCTGAGGGGATTCGGTGGAAACAAGCAACCGGTGGCGCTTGCGCACGGTCTGAGGATCATCGACAAGAGCGGTGGTGAGGACTGTGAGCGTGTACACACATATAGATGTATGTGTGTATGTATGCATGCATGCATGCATGCATGCATGTATGTATGTATGTAGGTATGTATGCATGAATGTATGTATGTATGTATGTATGTATGTATGTATGTATGTATGTATGTATGTATGTATGTATGTATGTATGTATGTATGTATGTATGTATGTATGTATGTATGTATGTATGTATATATGCATGCATGCATGCATGCATGCATGCATGCATGCATGCATGCATGTATGTATGTATGTATGTATGTGTGTATGTATGTGTGTATGTATGTGTGTATGCATGCATGCATGCATGCATGTATGTCTGTCTGCCTGTCTGTCTGTCTGTCTGTCTGTCTGTCTGTATGGCTGTACGTGTATGTATGTATGCATGCATGTATTGTATGTATGTCTGTCTGTCTGTCTGTCTGTATGTCTGCCTGTCTGTTTGTCTGTATGTGTGTATGTATGTATGTATGCATGCATGCATGTACGTATGTATGTATATACAAATATATCCAGGCCTCCCGAAGATGGTCCGAGTAGAGGGAGTCGGAGGATCGTGCTGCATCCCCGATGCATCGCCGATGCGGCTACATGTGGAGCCCGATTCTCTCCGCGCCGACGCCGTCGATGAACTGCCGATGCATCCGCGATGCGGCGCGATCCTCCGACCCCGTCTGCTCGGACCCCAGCCTTTGCTACATCATGGCTGGGGCCACCGGTGCTTCGGTGGACAAGGACACGCTGGTGCTCACGGACGTAATGAGTATCATCGACAAGAGCGGGGGTGAGGCCTGGTGCCGTCGCCCCTGGTCAGCGGTCACGCCCGCGCAAGGGGGGCGCTCTTTGGGGCATCCAGGATCGCTGATCCTCAGGACGTGTGCATCGTCGAAGAAGAAACATTGGCATAAGCATCAACTTTGGAGCTCCGCGGGGATTTCTTGGATCGGCGCTGGACCCCCCCGGCGGCGCCTCTGGCGCTGCTCCTGGCGCGCTCCGCGCGCCAGAGAGTGGGTCTCAGCGCAGATCCAAGAACTGCGCGGACGTCCGGAAAGTTTATGTTTGTGTCTTCGTGGTTCCTCTACTCCCCCCCCCCCCCGTGCAGCACTGTAGGACCAGAGCGACTCGGAATATTGCGGAGGCCGCAGCCCGATCCCTGCATAAGTTCTTTCCTCGTCTGCGGTTTGCACAGCCGTCCTTCGTGCGATCATTCCCTGCTCTTCTGCCTTGAGTGTCTGTCTGTTTCCTTGCCGTCCCGCTAGCGTTGGCCGGAGAGGAGGGATGCGAGGGCCCCAGCTGCTGCAGCAGAACGGTCCACATCTTTCGGCTTGGAGGAGGACGAGCAGGAGGAGGGGAGGCACAGGACCAGGAGGACGAGGAGCTGGTCCACCTCCTCCTTCCTCCTGGTCCTCCTTCCTTATTCCTGCTGATTATTTTCTCTTCTCTGCTTCCTCTTCCTCCTCCTCCTCCTCCTCTTCCTCTTCCTCCTTTACTGGAGGATGAGAAGGAAGAGACGAGATGAGAAGAGAAGAGGGAGAAAAAAAAGGAGAAAAAGGAGGAGGAGGAGGTCGAGGTGTATGGAGTGCTGCCCCCAGAGACCCCCCCAAACGGATCCAAATGCCTCCAGGAAAACGCCGCCCTCGATCCTTTAGCTTCGACCCTCGATCCTTCGAAAGGCTCGTCCACCCTCGGCCCTCGACCCTCGACCCTGGGAGGAGGAGGTCCGGGAGGAGGCCCCCCCCGCCGGAGGAGCTGAGCGCCCTCACCGGCGCCGTCGACACCTCCCCCGCCAAGCGCCCGGGAGGTGCGCGCTCCTTACCGTGGGGTGCGGTTGCGCCAGGGTCTGCTTTGCGATCGACGTGTTGGGGCTTCGAGAGGTCACCACGAGGAGGGTATCGACTACATAATGTGTTCATCTCAGAATTGATTTTCTCGTCGGATCTACGAAAAATACGTGGAGTGATCTACGAGCGTTCTTACTAACGAACAGTCTACGGATGCTTCGTACATGCGACGAGAAGATGGATTTTTTGGGAAACCAGTTCTGTAGTCGATCCCCTATTCGAAAGGTAAGCTGAGCCCTCGTCTGGGCGCGGCAGAGGTCTCCGTCGAGGTCCCCGTCGAGCCCCCCAGGCGCAGGTTACAACTCACACCCTTCCCAGACCCTCGACGTCGCGTTTTTTCGCAACGTCGACCCCCAGAGGTCTGGGTCCCTTCCCCGGACTTGTCTCTCATCACGAGTCGTTTTTTCACGGTCCTGCGGCCAGCTATGGACCTCTGGAAGCCGAAAATTGCTAAAAACCTTCCGTTGCGATTTTTTCACACCGCGAGGAGGTCTGGGTTCGCAAGCCACACCCTTCGGAGTCGCCGATCCCCGCCCCACGGCCAGGAGGAGGTCGTCGTCGGACAGGGCTCGAACGATGATAAATCCGTTTCAGAGCGCTCCGGAACGCTCTCAGAGCGTTCTGGCACGCTTCGGAAAGGCCGCGGCGCCCGGGACATCCTCCAGAGCCGCCGTATCTCAGAGATTGTCGATTTATCCTCACCCGATGTTATCCTTGTCTTGGCTTCGTTTTGCGTATCGGCGAATGTCAGGGGTCATCGTCATCGTCGCCGCGCTCGTGCGCGCGGGAGCGCGCTGGGGCGGAGGAGGAGGGGGGAAAGCGGGAGCAGGGTCGATGAGGAGGGGGATGGAGGAGGAGGGAGGATGAGGTAGGAGGAGGAGGAGGAGGAGGAGGAAGAGGAGGAGGAGGAGGAGGAGGGAGAAAGAGCATGAGGAGAAGGAGGAGTCGGAGGGGGAGAGGGAGGAGGAGGAAGCACGCGGGGCACCCAAGCAAGCCCCGAGACATTCGGAAATCGTGAGCCTTTGTTCGGGTTTCGAGCATCCGACTGATTCAAGCCGAGCTTCATCAGGTGGACGAGCGAATGTAAGTCTTTCCGCGCCCTGAGGCCCTAGAAGCCCATCCGATGCATCAGCGATGCGGCGCGATCCTCCGACCCCATCTACCTGGAACCCGTTTGGGGGAGGCCTCTGGGGATACATCCCCGGGGGGCAATTCGGACGCACCCCTATGGAGCATGGACGCCCCTCCATCGTATAGCCCCGAGTGGGGCCCCAGATCTCGCGTCCAGTCGTGCGCCCCGCGCGCCAGAGAGGGGGCCCCAGCGCAGATCCAAGAAATCCGCGCGAATCTCCGAAAGTTTATATTTGTATAGTTTTTCGTTCCTCTACGGTGGAGGGCACTCCTCTACGGATTCGTTCCTTTACGTTTTCGAAGGAGACAGGTTTTCGCGGGATTCTGCCAAGTGTATTTGCATGGAGGGGGGAGAGCGGGGGGGCGTGGTGAGGCCCGAAAGGGATTCTGGACTTCACGCAAGCCTGGACTCACGTGCACGCCTCTTCGGCCCAGTACTGCCTGAAAAAGAAAGCGCGCCAGTGGATGGCCCTGAAGACAGAAAAAGGGGGAACAGGGGGCTGGGGAGGGGGCCTCTCGGGTAGTAGTGAGCAGGGTGTAGAGTGTTTTGAGTAGCGATTGGTGAATAGTTGGTTTCCGATAGTGAATAGTGCGCAGTGATTCGTGAGTGGTGAGTAGTGAATAATGGGTAGTGGTAGTAGTGAGTATCGGGTAGATATTAGTGAGTAGTGCGTAGTGGGTAGTGAGTAGTGAGTAGTGGGAAGGAAGTAGTGAGTAAGGAGTTGTGAGTAGTGAGTAGGGAGGACTGAATAGTGTGTAGTGAGTAGTGCGTTGTGAGTAGTAATCATGGGGTAGGTATGAGGGAGCAGACAATAGCGAGTAGCGAGGAGTGATTAGTGAGTAGTGAGTCGTGCGCAGTGAGTAGAGAGTAGTGAGTAGTGAGTGGTGAATAGCGAGTAGCGAGTAGCGAGTAGGGAGTAGCGAGTAGGGAGTAGGCAGTAGTGAGTAGGGAGTAGCGACTAGGGCGTTGCGAGTAGGGAGTAGTGAGGAGGGAATAGTCAGGAGTCGCTAGCGGGTAGTGAGTAGGGAGTAGTGCGTAGCGGGTAGAGAGTAGCGAGTAGTGAGTACTGAGTAGTGAGTAGTGACTTGTGAGTAGCGACTAGGGATTAGTGGGTAGTGAGTCGTGAGTTGGGAGTAGTGAGTAGGGTGTAGGTAATAACGAGTAGTGAGTAGTGGGAGCGTAACGAGTAGTGAGTAGTGGATAGTGAATAGTGCGTATTGGGTAGCGGGTAGGGCGTAGGGAGTAGCGAGTACTGAGTAGTGAGTAGAGAGTACTGTGTAGGGAGAAGGGAGTAGCGAGTAACGAGTAGTGCATAGTGAGTAGTGAGTTGTGGGCAGTGAGTAACGAGTACTGAAGTGTGAGTAGTGGTAATGGATAGTGGTAAGTGGGTCGTGAGTAGTGCTTTGTGATTAATGAATAGTGGGTAGTGAGTTGTGTTGAGCGAGTAGTGAGTATTGAGTAGTGGGTAGTGAGTAGTGAGTAGTTTGATGTGAGTGGTGAGTAGCGAGCAGGGGGTAGGGAGTAGTGAGTAGTGCGTCGTGGGTGGTGTGTCGTGGGTCGTGAGTAGTGAGTAGTCAGGAGTGAGTAATGAGTAGTGAGAAGTGAGTAGTGAGTAGCGAGTAGTGAATTGTGGGTAGTGAGTAACGCGTAGGGAGTAGTGAGTACTGTCTGGGACTAGGGTTTGGGTTTGTTCGGGGTCTAAGGGAAGGGTGAGGATTCGTGTTAGGGGTGGTAGGGGTCGGGTTCCGGAGATCGGGGTCGCCGTGGCGAAAGGGGGGGAGCGGGGGGGCTTCGAATTTGGCGCAAAAGCGGCGGAGGGGAGGGGGTTCGGCCCCCCCCCCTCCCCCTTGAAAGAGGGGGAGGGCGGGAGGTCCCCGACGACGGACCCGTAAAGGGGGGGGGGGGTCCCCGACGACGGATCGGGAAAAGGGGGGGGGGGGGGGGCTTCCCCCACGACGGATCGGGAAAGGGGGGGGGGTCCCAACCCCCCCCCCCCCCCTTGGGGTCATCCAGCGGCGCGCCCTCAAAGGAAAAGGCGGCGGAGATGAGGGGAAGAGTGTGGGAATGCCACGCAAGTAAACTTGCTTGAGTCTAAAGGAAAACACCATCAAAACCCCGTTATGGGATGTTCGTGTCGTTTCGACCGGCGGCGGCCCCAGCGCGTGCGTTTACGGTTGAACGCCGCCGGTGGCCCAGAATCGGCCCCTCGTTGCACGGCCCCGCGTTTCTGCAACGGCCGATCGGCCAAGTTGGAACGATCCCCACGGTGTCAGGAATCAACGCCGGGGTCGACACGACGCGAACCTTCCCCGAGATTCGAAGTCCCTGGAGAGGGGACCGGGTGGGCATGGGTTGGCATCATGAGCTGGCCCACTACCAAGAAGAAGCATCATGTCATAGCTTCTACGTCAGTACACAAGACTGACCCACTGACGGATCCAGCTCATCTTCCATTCATCGGCATCAAACTCGTGCGAAGCAGCATGCTCTCCCCCCCGGCGCGCCGGCGCCGCGGCTTGCGCCAGGGGCGCCGCCGAAAGCCCTGGAGGGCTCGGCGCGCGGCGATGGCGTGGCGAAATTCCCCGGGCGCCGCGCGGTGCGCCGCCTCGCGGCTCGCGGCGCGGAGGACCTTCGGGTGCAGGGCGGGGATCGCGGGTGTCTGAGAGGCGTTTTCTTATCTCATATGTCATTGCGAAAGGCCTGGCGGCCGGTGCCGCCGACCCTGAAGGGGACGACGACAACGGCGACGACGACGGCCACGGCGACGACGCTGACGTTCTGGAGCCGAAAGCTTCCTCTCCCGCGCGTCCAAGAGACAGTTTTCCTATTCAAGGGGGTTCGTGTTCACCGCTCGCCTTTGCTAGTTCCTTCTGGGTGTGTTGAAGATGGCCGAAAACAATATTCAAACAGCTCTAGATTTCTTGGGCGCTGCTCAGGTGGCCCAAGGGGGCCATCGAATGAGCGGACCGAGGGGCCTGAAGACGGCCGAGAAGTCGCTCGGGAATCGCAGGCGTCCTCGCGCCAGTCCGCCGACCCACAGAATTATTGAGAACATCGCGAGGGTCGTGGAAATTACCTAGCGGCCTTTGAGCCAACCCGCCACCGTGCCTGGGCCGTGGGTCAGGAGACTCTTCGATGCAAATGATTATCTCTTAGGATGCCTCTCAGGGGCCTATTGGACGGCTTTTGGGGGCATCTGGGGGGGGGCGTGACAGGGGGGGTGGATTGGGGGAGGGACCCAGTCACGTCCCGATTCGCGCTAGCGCCGTCTGGTAGTGTTTAGTCAGGAACATGTAAGACTCGAGTTCGCAGGAACTCGTTCTCGCCAAAGCTTTTGTGGCGGGCCCGTCCAGAATTTTGACAGTCCAGTTTTCGTCGGATGTTTGCAGCGGGCGCCCGCGTCCAATGTCTGACCGGTCACGTCACTTTTTTTTTACCCATCGAAGAAGCCCAGCGGCAGAGAGCACCAGTCGAGGAGGGGGGGGGGGGCCGGGGCGGCACGCGGCCCATGCGCAGGCCGCTAGCCCGGCGGCCCCGGGCGCTGCACCAGGCGCCCGCGCAGCGCCGCGCGCCAGTCGGCCTCGCGGCCGCCAGCCCGGACCGTGGGCATGAGCAGCAAGGCTGCCGCCCGCGGCGGCAGCGCGGCGGCCCAGCCCGCGCACGGCGTCGCCGCCAGCCGCGGCCACGCGGGCGCGGAGGCCCCGCAGCGCAGGCAGGCCACCCAGCCGGGGCCCTGCGCGGCGGCGTGCAGCTGCCAAGCCTGCCCCGCGAACAGAGCGGCCCAGCGGGCCCTGCTGCCGCCGCCGCCCGCACTGCCTGGCGGCGCCGGTGCTGCTGAGGCAGCTCCGGCCGTAGGGCCCCGCGGCGGCGGCCCCCCTGGCTGCGCGCCGAGCGCGCCCCGCCGGCCGCGGCGCCGGCGTTGCGGTCTGCCCGCCCGAGGGGCCACGCCGCTGGCGCTATGGTTCACTTTCAGCGCCGCCAGCTCCACCTCTGCCAGCATCCGCTGTGCGATGCCCAGGGCGCGCAGTCGGTTGTCCCGCCCAGCGAGCAGGGCGGGCGGCGGGAACCGCGCGCGCGCGGCTGCGCCCGCCAGCCGGTCAGCGGCGGCGTTCCCAAGGCGGTCCTCCTCAGCCATGCCTCGGGCCCTGGCGCTGGCCGCGTCGAGATGCCCTTTGATCCATCTCGCTTCCAGGTGCCCAATCTGGCAGTACGGCGCCAGCAACTCCCAGATCTCGGCGTGCGACCACTCCGCCGGGGATGCCCCCGCCTGGAGCGCCGCGACCCCGTTGCTGACGAACCGCGAGTCGGTTATCACCTCGACGGGGCCTGCGGCGAGGCTCACCGCGTGCAGGGCAGCCGTCAGCTCCTGACCGGTCACGTCACGATTCTCGCCGTCGCCGTCTGGGAATCTTGAAGACGGGCAAATTCCCAGATGGCGACGGCGCGAATCGTGACGTGACCAGGGGATGCGGGTGGGGCGGGGCCGGTAATGGCCGTTATCGCGCATGACAAAACATGGGTTCCAAGAGAGTGGTGAGGACCAATGTTTCAGTTGTCTCCACGTCGCGGGCCTGTCCCTTCCCGCCACCGTGCCCGTCCCGCCACCGTTCCTAGGTCGTGGAGGGGAGACCTCGTGGATTCCTCTTGGGGCCTCCTGGGCGCCTCTCGGAGGCTTCTTGGGGGCTTCTCTTGGGTCTCTCTGGGGCGTCTGAGGAGGACCTCTTTGGGGGGCTCTTCGGGGTCCTCAGCGAGGCCGCGAGGCCTCATGGGGCCTGCTGGCTCGTCTCGGGGCCCTTTTGGGGCCCGTTTGGGCGCCCGGATATGTTTAGGACATCATGTCCAATCATGAGGAGGGGGAGGGTGGGGAGGAGCAGGAGGACCAGGAGGAGGAGGAGGAGGAGGAGGAGGAGGAGGAGGAGGAGGAGGAGGAGGAGGAGGAGGAGGAGGAGGATGCCGAGCGAACTTGGAAGCCTCGATCCTCGACGACTCGACGGCTGCGGCGACGACCGCCGCCGCCTGGGGGCGCAGGCGTCGACGGACGACCCACGACCGACGGCGGCGACGGCGGCGACGACCATCGTCAGCGACCGCGACCACGACGATGATCAACGGCGACGATCACGGCGGCGTCGACGGCGTTCATCACCGCCGTCGAGGGTCGTCGACGGCGACGATCACGACGACGGCGGCGACGCCAACGATCGACGACGACGACCGTCGACAGCGACGGCGGTCGCGGACGACGCCCGCCGCCGCCTCGGGGTGCAGGACGACGGAGCAGCGAGCGGCCGCTGCGCGGGGGGCTAGCGACCCGAGGCCCCGCCCCAGCCCAGGACGCCAGCTACAGTGGGGGCGCGCCTACCGTCCACCACCCCTCACCCCCCGCCCCGTCCCGCTGTGCGCCCGCACGCCGCCACACCAGCCACCCGCACGCCCCCCACGGCCCTCCCCGCCCCGCGACGTCGACAAGCCCCACCCCCGCCAACCCCCGAGCACACGGCCGGTACAACAACAACTCGACCACGCCCCCCCTCTGCGAGCTTCAAGACAGGCCCTGTGGAGGCACCCAACCCGCGAGGCCTCCCCACCCAAATCCGCCCCCCACCAGCCGCCACGCCCACGGCCCCCCCCCAACGCCACCAACCAGCTGGCACGAGCGGCTTCCGGTTGCACTCCGGAGCGCACTGGCCCCCGGGCGCACCTCTACCCCCTCTCCCCCCACTCTCTAGGCCCCCCCCCTTTCAACGCCCCTATCCCACCGACCCCTCCTCTCCCCACCTCTCTACCACCTTCCTCCCTCCCTCATCTCCCTGTCCTCCTCTCCTCATCATCCCTCCTCTCCTCCTCCTCCTCCTCCTCCTCCTCCTCCTCCTCCTCCTCCTCCTCCTCCTCCTCAAAACCATATGCTTTTCGTCAGGTTATCCTGGGTTTCTTCGCTCCGCGCGCTGCGCGGTGACTTCCCGCAGCCTTTGAAGAAACTGCTGCGTTCAGGGTGCTCCAGGCTTCCCCTCAGGTGCACCTCGCGAGCGGGTTTTCAGGGTTGGGTTTCTTTGTGAGAGTTCCTTGCGGCCGCGCCCGCACTGTCAACGCTGTTTGGACGATCTCGTGCACCGCTTTCGTTTTCAGATCCCGCCTTGCGGCAAAGGCGGGCCGAAGATGGAACGGGGGACAGCGAGCCAGAAAATGAAGACGGACAGCACCCGCGCCCCGCCCCGGCCGCCGCAGCCGCCCTCAGCGCGCTTGGTCGCCGCCCGCGCGCCCGCGTGCGCGCTGCGCCGCCCCCCGCTCTTGTCGACTGCGCGCTTTCCAGACCGGGGGGCAGGATCATGACCACCATACTCACCAGTCGTCGAAACTAGGCAGTTTTGGATTTCCAGTTCCCAGTCCACGTCAAGCGCCTCCCTACATCAAGAGTCGATATGCTTTTGCTGGGTTATGTTGCTCTCTGGGAGGGCCTTGGCCCAATCTACTTTCTCCGCCTTCCTACTTCATATTGTTACTCACTTCTTCCGACCGACGTGTACTACGGTTGCCACGAGATTTTGCCCCGGATCGTAGGGTCTTGTCCCAGATCATTCATGTGCGCGGACGGCTCGTGTGCATCGTGCCGTTGGGGAACGGTCGGGGTTCCGGTGGGGACCGTATTTTGACAAATTCGAAGCATCGGATTTCTGCTTCCCCAACACACGGAATCGACCCTGGACCTGTCCTGGACGGAGCACGTCCTGACCAGGAACCCGAGGCGAGGCCATGAGTGACTCATGGCTCCGAAGAAGCCTTTCTGTTGTCTCCTCTTCCGACAGTTTTCCGTCTTCCCTCGTCGTCCTCATTTTCATCGCCTATCCTCCTCCTTCTTAGCCCTCCTCCTCCTCCTTCTTTAACTGTGATCGGTCTTTAGTGTTAGGTCCCCCCCCACCTGTTTCTATCGGCGGGGAACAAATTCTACCCTTCTCCTCCTCCTCCTACTTCCCTTCTCCTCCTCCTCCTGCTCTTTCTCCTCCTGATCCTCCTCCTCGTCTCCTTCCTGCTCGTTCTCGTGGTCGTTATCGTAGTCGTCGTCGTCGTCGTCGTCGTCGGCGGCGGCGGCGGCGGCGGCGTCGGCGTCGGCGTCGGCGCCGGCGTCGGCGTCGGCGTCGTCGTCGTCGTCGTCCTCCTCCTCCTCCTCATCGCGGCGGAAGTCATTTTCCTTCTATTGTTGGGCGGGCTGGATAATGTTGGGGGGCTTCTCCGTCCAGGGAAGAATCCATTGTGGGTTACCCTACGTGCGAGAGGATGTTGTGAGCATTTCGCCATGAGGATTGCAATAATAATCAGGGGTTATGGTTGTAGTCGTGACGATAGTCGTGGTTGTAATCACGATTGTAGTCGTGATTGTGGTTGCGATTGTAGTCGTTATCGTAGTCGTGGTTGTAGTCGCAGTGGTAGTCATAATCGTATGTAGTCGTCGTCGTCGTCGTCGTCGTCGTCGTCGTCGTCGCGCCGGAGATTAGTTTCCCTTTATTGTTAGGCGGGCTGGAAAATATGTGGTTGCTCTTCTTCCCCCCAGGGAATAATACAGTGTGGGCTACCCTACACGCGAGAGGATGTGTGAGCATCTTCTCATGAGGATAGCAATGGGAATCAAGGTTGGTGGTTGTATGCGTGATTGTAGTCGTGTCTGTAG